AAATCAAGTCTCTGAGTTTACAATTCAGAGAGGTTAGGTCACTTGCTCAAGGTCACACAGCTAACCCGTGGTAGAACTGATATTCAAATCCAGGACGACTTGACTACATTGCCCAAGTGTCACACTGTGGTCACATGTTTTTCCAAACTCACAATTGGACTAGCTGCAGGGCAACAGAAAACCATGTTCCTCTTTGGCTTCTTATGCAACAAACCATATGGACCCTCGTGCTCTTACATAACAGGCCCAATGCTAACGAGAGGCAGTTTAACAACAACACAAAAAACAGATCGCATTCACAACAGACCACCATATGTTCTGCCGTTCCCACAGCAGCCGCCCCAACTCCTACTCAGGAGCCCACAGAAATCTTCTCGCTGAAAACAGCTTTATTCTCAAGTGACTCAAATGATTGATGCCTTTATAAAAAGAAGTGGAGAAAGAGTCTGCACTTCTTCCAAAGAAATAAGTCTTGTTAACTCCTTGGGAAAGCCCGGACCCCTGCAGCCTCCACTCCATGGGCTTCCCCAGCGATGGTGTGGTCTCTGAGCTAGCAGCTCCCTCATTCAGAGTGAGGGCAGCTAGGATGATTTCTGGTTTCTGAGTCTCCAAGCTAAACAGCCAGGGGGCTTTGGATCATCCCCTCTGTTTGGCCTTAAACTCCCTCCCGACCTTGTGCTCAGGCTCAGTTTAAGAATCTCGAGTTCGCTGTAGGCTTTCTGGAAGCGCCCTCTGGAGCTGAACCTAGTTCGAAAAGGGTGATTTGACCCACAGACATTGGGGAGAGGGTTGCTGCAGAGGGCTACAGGCCTGGCACCATCTTTCTACTCTACACCTTTGGCCTGGTCTCCTGCCTCCTTCACTTCCTCCCATTCATTTCCCTGTTCAGCTGTCAAAGCCATCCTGCTAATACCTAAATCTGATCGCATCCTTCCAAATTCCTCAGAGCCCTGGTGATCCTGCTTGCTCTACCTCCTCACCCCACTTTGCACGCTCTTCCCCTTGACCTCAGAGCTCCAGCCATTTTGGCATTCTTTCCATTCCTGGCAGCTTTGCACATGCTCTTCCCCTTGCTCGGCCCACTCAGCCCCCTTCTACTCATTCCTCACCTTCTGAATCTCAGCCACAGTGGCTATCGGCCCCTTCAGATGTGGCATTGAGACTGAGGAATTAAAATTTTAATTTTATTAGTTGTAATGAATGTCAATTAAATTTACATTAATTCTCAGATTGCAAAGGGATTTTCTTTCCCGTATTTTCTTCCTATAGTTATGAATTCATTTTGTATATTAGAATACATTTGATACTTATTTTAATATTTAAAATTTGCATAACCAGATGTCTACCTATGGTATTTTGTGTTTTCCAAAGATTGTCATACCAATATATATCCCATCCCACATTTTCTTCTGACAATGTGACATGGACACTCCTTCAGAAAGAGGTGAAACTGGTAGACCTGTGTAACTGCCTTGACCAAGAGAATATTGTGGTAGTGGCAGCCTGTGCCTTCTGAGGCTGATCACTAAGGGTATTGCCTCTTCTACCTTGGCCTCCCGGATTGCTCACTCTAAGGAAAATGAGCCCCCATGATCCTTTATGTGGAAGGAACTAAAAGACCTCAGCAAACAGGTTCATTACCAACAGCCCAGTGATGTCATAGAGCCACCGTGAAATGATTCTCCAGTCCCAATCAGGCCTTCACATAACTACTGCCTCCGCTAACATCTGATCGCAATTTTATGGGGATCCCGCCCACCCCCCCCCCCAAATGAGACCTGCCCAGCCGAGGCTTTCCAGAAATCCCGACACTCGGAATTTGTGAGCACTATAAATGTAGTTTGAAGCCATTAATTTGGGGGGGGGGAGGGTTGTTATGCAGTAATAATAATTAGAACACTACTCATTTTCCCCCAACACCATTTAACGATTAGTTAATCTTTTTCCCAGAGATATGAGATGTCACTTTCATCATAAATTTAATCATCATAGAGTATGAGCCAATTGTTGGACTCCTTCTGTTCTATTAGACTATACCAACTCAAGCACTAATATCAAGTTGTTTACATCTTTGATGCTTTGTTATATGTTACTATCTGGTAGAGGTTGCCAACCTCCAATACTTGTCTAGCCTTTTTATTGAGCTTATAAAAATTGATATATTTATGAGATTGCAGCTTCTTACACAAAAATGCAATATACTTTCTTATTTAAGTTTGCTTTGTGATATTCAGGAGTGTTTTTAAGTTTACTTCATATTTATTTATTTAGTTAGTTAGTTTTCTTCATATTTAGCTGATTGTTTTTTATAGAGTCTACACTTAGGTATTTAATAATTTGATTAATGTTGTGAATGGATTTTTTTTTCCTGTTATCCTGGCCATTCTAGCTATTTGTGATTTATATATGTAACAACTATTGATTTCTATATATTATTTTTGTATGCCACTTCCTTACTGAATAATCTATTTATTTATGGTGGCTTTTAGCTGATTCTGTTCGTTTTACCGGGTATACGACCATATTATCTGCCAACTGCGATTGTTTTATTTCCTCCTTTCTAATATTTATATCTCACATTATTTATTACTCTTTTTGCACTAACACATCTAGTATAGTGTAGCTGTTGAAAGTGAGCATTTTTAGTGAGACTACCTCTAATCAAAGTCTAGCCACATGAGGCTCTTGGACTGTTGCAATGTGGCTATGAAGACTGAGGAATTTTATTAGTTTTAATTAATTTAAATGTAAATAGCTACTTTGTGGATAGTGATTATCATATTGGTCAACACAGGACTAGAATTTCTTCATTTACCATACTGTTAGCTTTTGGATTGAGACAGGCATTTAACACATGTGGAATATTCAAATATCCTTATTTCATTGGCTTTCTAAAAATAAAAAGTAACTGTTGAAATTTGTAAAATGCTTCTTCAGTATCTATGGTGATGATTATGTGGGTTTTCTTCTTATATATACTAATACAGTAAATTATATTTAATCATCCTTGAATTGGATTAAACCCAAACTTGATCATGATGTGTTATTCTGCTAATGTGTTTCTCCATTCTGTTTGTTAATATTTTATTTAGGATTTTTGAATCAGTACTAACCATCTTTTGTGCAATCTTTGTTAGATTTTATATCAGTGAATTCTCACTTCTTAAAAAAGAAAAAAACTTGATGGTTTTTTAAAAATTTATTCTAGCCGAAACCGGTTTGGCTCAGTGGATAGAGCATTGGCCTGCGGACTGAAAGGTCCCAGGTTCAATTCCGGTCAAGGGCATGTACCTGGGTTGCGGGCACATCCCCGGTGGGAGATGTGCAGGAGGCAGCTGATCGATGTCTCTCTCCCATCGATGTTTCTGACTATCTGTCTCTCTCCCTTCCTCTCTGTAAAAAAAAAATCAATAAAATATATTTAAAAATAATTTATTCTAGACCTGACAGGTTAAGTAGTATTTAAAGGGTTTGTAGAATTTCCTAGTGCAAGGAAGCCTAAGAAAAATGGGGGAAGGGAGTACATCATTGACTACTTTCTCTATTTCTCCTATACAAATCAATCTCTTTAGCTTCCTATATCTTTTAGGCTCTCTTTGGTAAGTTGCATTTTCCCACAAGTTATCTATTTCATCCAGATTTTCAGAGAATTTCTTTGCGAAGAAGTGCTTCATTTATTTATTTTAATTTAATGCTTCTTGGTTCTATCCTCATGTTTTAACTTTTAGGAATTGCCTTTTCTAGACATCTCCCCCCCCTTTTACAATGATCTGGTGATCCAGTGGTTCACCTATTGTATTAATAAGAACAAGTCTTTCAACAATTTTTATTTATTTGTCCTGATTTTCCTATATTCTAAGTTATTTTTTCACTTTTTCTTTATTAATTTATTCTTTCTGCTTTCCAACAATGTAGTTGGCTACTCTTTTTCAAATTTTAGACATATGTTTGCTCCATTGGCTCCTGGAATTTTTACTTGATGTAAATATCAAGTATAGATTTTTCTCTAAAGCTGCCTTTTCAAGATCTCATGGCTTTAATACATAATATTTTTACTGATGCTATTTTCAAAATTCTGTCTAAATTAAAAGTTATTAACTGAAGTACATAAATCTCTAAGTTATTTTTAATATTATTATACATTTCTAGTTTTATGGCTTTGTAAGAAGAAGATATTACCATAAATATTTCCACATTTTGGAAGTTTTGAGCTTTGGACTTTTTGATACATTTTTATGAGTATAAAATGGGCATTTGAAAAAACATAAGAATTTGAAATATACCAATTATATTTTTTTATACTTGTTCAGATATATGTTACATTTATTTATTATTATCCACTTGATTAATTTAATTTTAATCCCATGATTTTATTTTAGTTAATGTCTTCTTATATCATATCTAATTTCTGCTTTTTTAAATATTGCTGCTGTGTAATTTGGTGCATGGATTTTCAAAATTCTTATAGCCTCACTATGAATGGCATACTTTATCATTTTAAATACCCTTCTCTGTTTGGTTTAGTATTTTCTTTAACTTGAATTTAATATTTTCTGATAGGAATGAAGAGGGAGAGACAGAAAGATGAATATGAGAGAGGCACATAGATTGGTTGCCTCCCACATGTGCCCCAACCAGGCCTGGGATCGAGACTGCAACTGAGGTACATGTCCTTGACCAGAATCGAACCTGGGACCTTTCAGTCAGCAGACCAATGCTCTATCCACTCACCAAACCGGTTAGGTATGATTTATACATGCTAAAGTGAATCTTTAAAATGCGTACTTGGATCAGTCTGGACATATGCACACACCCATGAACACTCTGTGCCCTCCTGCTCTCCCGCACTCTGCCCTGGGAATCTTCTGCCGTGGTCTCTCTGGACTCTCAGCTTCTTCTCTTCACCCCAGGGGTCTTCCAGGATCTGTCTGGATTCCTTCCTCAGGCCACAGCCTGGAAACCCTTTCAAGAGAGTAAACCAGGTCACTTGCAGGACTCACCTCACTGGCTTCCTGTCTTTCAGGGGTCGCTGCTTCATTTCCAGATAGCTGGTGCTCTGAGAACCACTGTTTGATATACTGTCGGGTCTTTTCGGTTGTTTCAGGTGGGAGAGTAAATCCAGGCCTCTTATCCGTCTTGGCTGGAATCAGAAGTTAAGCTAGTTACCTTTTACTCTCCATTCATTTATTTATTTTAATGTATTTATATTACTCACTGTATAAACGGGTTTGTTATTTTTGTGTCTAGTTTTCCTGCTATTTGGGGTGGTTTGTATTTCTGCCCTAGCTGTTACCATTTCAATTATATCTCTGTATTACACCTTTAGTTTGCCCTACTTTTTGGAAAGTATCAATTAGTTCATTACTCTAAGCAATGACATCATTAGTATGCTTGTCATCTTTTTCTTCCTTTTCTCAAGAAACCAATTTCAGTCAATAAAAATCAACAAGCAAACATCTATGCAGTATATACTACACACCAGATACTATGCTAGCTGCCTTACATTTGTATTTCATTTAATCTTTACAATGAACCTGTGGCAAATACATCGCTCATATTAGAGATGATGGAGGGAGCCCCCCAAGAAGTTACAATAACCTGTCACCCAGAACACATGGCAGTGGTAGAATTAAGTCCAAAATACTCTTATGCCAAGTTCAGAGCTCTTACCACTACTCTACAGTTACCTTTACTATCCTGAACTCTGTCCTCCTAATGCAAGCGCGCGCACACGCGCGCGCGCACACACACACACACACACACACACACACACACGCTCACTCACTTTATTCTGAGAACAAACTTGGCCTTACAGCTCAGTATATAGACAGGATACACCTGGACGAATATAATTTGCCTGTTTTTCCAAACTCTAGGTTCAGAGTCTGGCTTGTAGACAAGGTACAGATGGAAATCTTCTGGACTGAGGCCAAGAAGAGGAGAAAGGGTGGAAAGGCTTGCCCCATGGCCTGCAGTAGCGCTGAGTAACCCAACTTGGACTAATACTTGCAGGGCAGCTGGAGAAATCATGCCACTGATGCCACTAGCCTGTCCAGCATGTGACAAAGTTCTTCAGCACCCATGCTCACTTGAACTTTTCACAGCAGTATTATAGCTGAGGAAGTGGCGGCTCAGAGACATGAATGTCTTATCGAAGGTCACACAGCTAACTGGTGATAGGGCCTAGACAACAATCCCAGATCTCCTAACCACTTGTCCAGGGCTTTTCTCGTGATCTGTTTCTGACTACATGGGTGGCATTTACCCTTTCATAGTTCTGACTGTACCCCATTGACGTGTGAGAGGAGAATCAATATGTCCATGTCCTCAGCACTGTACTTTGAGCTGCAACAGATAAAAAAAACAAACAAAAAAACATAAAATTTGTCCTTCTCAATACTCATTCATTTAGTTACTCATTCATTCATTCATTCATTCATTCATTCATTCATTCTAAGTGTTCACTAAGTGTCAGGCCCTGTTAGGAGCTGGGAAATACTCCTCAAGGGGCTCACTGTGTAATGAAGGAGACAGATTCAAAAGTCAACTTCTCCAATTCAGTGGGAAAAGCTAAGAGTATTTGGGGTGTGACCTCACTCTGTCTGTGGGATCCAGAAAGGCATACCAGAAAGGAGCTGAGTGTAGAAGGGTCCAGAGGAGCTGAAGGAGTCAGATTTGACACTGACCGAGGCAGAAGTGAGCATGTTGCCCTCAGAGGACCAAAAAGATGTTCATGAAAGGGCTGGGAGCAAATCTGAGAGCTAGGAGTGCAGACTTTCTCCTGTAGTTTATGAACACAAGTACAAAAGCAGTAATGTGATCAGGCTTGATTAGAAAAATCACTGTGGCACAGTGGGAAGAATGGACTAGCAGGGAGTGGGACCAATGAAGGATTGGTCCACGTGAGAGCCTACCCTGGGGATAGAAGGGGGATGGGAGGATTGCTCTGGCTACCCCCTACCCACATTTTAGGGCTCAGTCTGGTTAGAAGCTCCTCCTCTGGCACCCTGAAGCCCTGCCATCATGCCCGCAGGCAGAGAAGAGTTCATGGAAGGTTAATAGCAATGGTTTTGAAGGCGACTTTCAAAGCTGTTGCATTCTGTCTCCACTGCTAACGAGCTGTGTGACCTTGGACATGGTGTTTAATCGCTGTTGCTTCAGTTTCCTCACCTATCAACTAAAAAATATAATAGTACCTATCTCTTAGGGTTATTGACATAATTAAAAAAATTGAATGCATATAAACTCTTGGAATAGTGCCTAGCAATAATTAAGTGTACAATAGGCGTGGGCTTTTATTATCATTACACACATTCACTGTGTGTTTATGGGCGTACCTGACCATCAGGTATACTCCTTGGGGGCAGGTCTCCTTGTGCCCAGCAGACGGCATGAGACAGAGAAGGTTCTCAATAAATAACTGTTGGAGATGATAGAGATGATGGTTAATGAGAATAAAATAATTCCCACATTCTGAACTGGAACAGGAAGATGGTGATGTTGTCAGGGCTGAGACAGGGAGCTTGAGAGAAGGAGCTGGTTCAGAGGGGTAGGTTGCTAATCTGCCCAAGATCAAATCTATAGGATCTAGAGAAGCTGAGGTTTGAACTGAGGTCTGTTCATATTCCATAAACAGCTTATGAAATCTGAATGTCTATGCTCAGAATGAAGGTATTTAATAAAATAATATATATCAAATGAGTTGGTGAATACTTGAATGAATGGATTTCTTTGGTATCAAGGTTGCTTCTATGTTCATTGGTAAATAGATGTCTGTGGAAGTGGGGAGGGGGGTAAAAAAAGAGAAAAGAAAATAACCATGAAAAATTATAAAAGAAAGAACTAGTAACAGATATTTAAAGTGAATGAACATGAGGACCTAGCTTCCTTCTTTTTGCCTTTTTCTGACCTATCAGTACTTTTATATATGACCTCCAGCTTTATAATCATTATAATGGACTCTTGCAAACTAGTAGGAAGGACGACTAAAACTACCCAGCAGGAAGTTTTGCAAAACCCAAGCAAAACAAACAAACAAACAAACAAAAAAAAAAAACAATATCAAGAAATTTAGGGACGTAAGAAAATGTCTGATACCAGGGGAACCAGTCACACAGGCCCTTCTACACACAATTCCGATTTCAACCACCACCTCCGCAAAGGCAGATTTCTTAGATCAAACTGCTTGTGGGACTAGCATCCAAGTATTAGGGCAGAAAGATCTGCCTGCATAGTTTCTATTTGAAATTGATAAGCTCTCCTTCCGTGCAAGTCTCGGTAGTAGAGTAATAAAAATAATAATGATAATACATAATTTAAGGACATTTTATAATATATAATGTTAAATATGAATATAATTATAATAATGCCTATAATTTATTGAATGTTTACTGATTCCAGAAACTGGTGAGTATTAAGAAATGCTATTTCTTTTAAACCTCACCAAACCCTACAAGAAAAATACTGTTATTCCCATTTTAAAGATAAGCAAACTAAGCCTCAGAGAGGTTAAGTAACCTGACCAATGTCACTCAGCAAGTAAGTAGGAAATCAGGATCTGAACCCCAGTTTGCCTTACTCCAAAGCCCATTGCTGCAAACCCTAATTTATGTACAATTTTTCTCCTTGACTCCTTTGAATTTGGGGCTGTATAGATTAACTTCATCCACATAAGCCTAGTTGAGGCATGGAGTTCATATTTGAACACCAGGTCTGATGAGATAAGAGTGTGCCTGCTCCAGAGCTCTTTGTCAGTCCAAAAAATTAGAGGGTTGATGTGCAAGGATCAAGAGACATGGATTCAGAGAACGAGGTCCAAATGAACTTGGCCTCTTACTAGCTCTGAGGCTTCTGTTCGATCATTTAAATTCTTTGGGCCTCTGTTAGTTTCTTAGATTTCATATGCTGCCCCCCACCCCCCAAAAATAAAAGGGTTTATTTAAATGATCTCTCAAGGCTTTAGGAAATGATTTTTTTTTGTTTCAGCATTTGTATCTTTTCTAATAAAAACTTTTCTAGTTAATATGTCATACTTACTAAAGAAAAAAAAGATACTTGTTCAAAAAAAGTAATACATAATTTTTAAGGAAGAATACAGAAGAGTAGAAAGAAAAGTTCTGATTCTATTTAGTGCAAAGGAAGTCTCTATTCAAATTTAAAGGATAGTCAAAGAGGCTTGATACAGCCTTAACATTTCAAAACAATCAAAAATCGTGTTTGGGCACTTCTTGTCATTTTTCTAAACATTACTTCATTTCCCTTTCTAAGACTTACATATCATATCTACATTTCAGTGTTCAGGTATAAAGACTTAAGTTAAATAAAGTTATGAAGCCTTTATTTATTTATTTTTGATGACTGCAAATAAAATAAAGCAAAACAAAAACCCCTTGGGGAACATTTTTTTCCAAAATAATTCACACCACCACCTCTTGCTAAGCACCTACTATGAGCAGGGCTTGTGCAAGGAGGAACCCTGAATGCAGTGTGGTCCTCAGTGAGGAAGCCCAATGCCTAGAAGGAAAAAAGCGGCCAAAGGGAAGTACCCATTGCCATGAGAGTGTATAGGCGGAGCTATTTATTCTGTCACAGAGAAGAGGACAGTGGCTGGATCAGGAAAAGTGGACTGGCGTCCAATAGATGGCAAAGCCTTAGAAAAGTCACCACCTAGACAAGCTCTTGTTTGGTTGTTCAGTGCTAGAGTGACATATAATTTATCTTCCACACTGGGATTCTTGATAATAAAAGGGGAAGTACTGATAATTATGTTAAGACATTGGGTGAAAACCAAAACTTGAAACCTGTGATGGAACGGCATGTTAAAATGCCCCAGGGAAGGCTTCCGCACCCTGGCTAACTTCCTGAACAAGTTGTAGAGATTTCCCTAACAGTCCTGTAGTTGGACTCAAGCATAACATCAACACAGCAAACAAACTGTCTGAACTAAGGAGCACATTCTGTATCATTCTTAAATTAGTTTCGTAGTTACGCCACATTTTCAGAACCACATCGATAGTCAGCCCTAGGAGTTTTGTGTGTGTGTTTTTTTTTCCACAATGCTTTGTGGACCCGCTCAATGCCCTAACTCTCAATATTTCCATATGATGTTCCTTGGTTTATTGTGTGATTAGTTGCAAATCC